CAGTGAGGGGTCTGTGAAGGGGAATGAGGCAGCAGTGATGGGGGAGTGAAGAAGGGCTGAGGGTCAGTGAGGGGTTAGTCAGGGGGTCAGTGGGGGATGTGGGGGTCAGTGTAGTGGCAGGGGATGGTGGAGTGTCAGCATGTTTTTCATCTTTTTAATGTCCCAAGCAATTGAGAGGGTCTGAAGTGGAGAGAAGTACAAGCTGTTTATTTTTGACTCTAAGGTTGGACAATGTGAAATCCCAGAGCGTTACCTGAGCCACCGTTTGTCCCTTGGTCACATACTCGTTGCCGACTTTGACTCGAGGGTGAACAAGGGCCTTCAGGAGGTCAGCCGAACTCAATCCCATCAGATAAGCAGCTTTATCAGCATCTGGAACACATGGTCACTGTTACCATGGGAACTAGAAGCCCCCTCACGACCTCCTCCCAGCATGGTGCACAGCCTCACCTCCAGGTCAACACCCTCTCTCCCGACACCCATCCCCTCTCCCGCGTCAACACCCTCTCTCCCAACACCCACCCCTCTCTTGCGTCAACGCCTTCTCTCCCAACAGCCACCCCCTCTCCCTCTTCCGCGTCGACACCCTCTCTCCCAACATCCACCCCCTCTTCCGCGTCAACACCCACACCCACACCCTCCCCAAGAGAGAGAGAGACACCCCCTCCTCAGGGTCGACACCCTCTTTCCCAACACCCACACCTTCCCCAAGAGAATCACACACCCCCTTCCCAAAACACCCCTTCCTGAGACAGAAACACCCTCCCAAAACCCAACCCCTTCCAATAACCCCACCCTCCCCACCACTTCAACTTTACTTTGTATCTAACTCCATGTTATCCATGCCCTGGGAGTTTTTGATGGGGACAATGTGGAAGGAGCTTTACTCCATATCTAACCCCATACTGTCCCTGTCCTGTGAGTGTTTGGTGGGGGACAGTGTAGAGGGACCATTATTCTGTATCTACTCCCATGTTGTCCCCTCTGTGGGGGTGTTTGATGGGGACAGTGTTGAGGGAGTTTTACTCTAACTGATTTATTCATTTTTTGAAGAAGGGTCCAGTCCCGAAACGTCAGCTTTCCTGCTCCTCTGATGATACTTGGCCTGCTGTGTTCATCCAGCTCTACACCTTGTTATCTCAGATTCTCCAGCATTGGGCAGTTCCTACTGTCTCTTACTCTAACTCTGTTCTGTCCCTGCCCTGGCAGTGATTGCTGGGGGACAGGGACTTACTTTCAGTGCCATCTGGCTCTGCTTGCTCCTCCCGTTGTTTCTGTTTGAATTTCATGTTTCCAAAGTGCATGATCGATCCAACGATTTTGTAACAGCCGTATTTCTCATCAGCTTCGAAGCCGAGGATGTCCATGGCATGCTAGTTAAAGTAGAAACAAGTGTTAATGCTTCTCCCTTGCTGTATTTATCATGGTGTCGCTGTCAGACTGTGTTCCATTGCTAACTCACACTATGACCTTCTGTTGACTTGTTTTGGTGCTATCACTCACTCAAGATTGGCAGCACACAGATTGATCATTGCTTTACCCTCAGCCCAACTATCTTCAGCTAATTCCTCAAAGACCTTCCCTCCATAATAAGGTCAGACGTGGGCATGTTCGCTGATGATTGGACAATGTTCAGCACCATTCGTGACTCCTCAGATACAGATGTTCAAACGCAGTAAAACCTAGACGATATCCAGGTTTGGGCTGGTAAGTGGCACATGCAATATTCATGCTACACAATGTGAGGCAAAGACCATCTGTAACAAGAGAGAAGCTAACCGCTGCCCCTTGACATTCAATGACATCACCATCACTGAATCACCCACTGTCAACATCCTGGGAGTCTTCATTGATCAGAAAGTGAACTAGGCTAGCCATTGAAACAAAACAAGAGTGCTCCAGTGAGGCTCAGCACAAGCTGCAGAAACAGCATCACATTTTCCATGTGGGGACAGTGCAGCCTTCAGGAGTCAATACCGAGTTCAATAATTTGAGAGCCTGCTACACCTCCTTCTTTTACCCACCCCCACAACCCAGGACCTGTCATGACATGGGTTGCTTTCAGCACAGCCAACCCATTCTCACCCACTCATAGCTCCCAGTATCACCAAGCTAGCTTTTCTTCTTCCCTCACTTACTATTCATAATCCCTCCGTCTGTCTAACTTTTCCCTCTATCTGTCTGATCGCCATCTCCACTCCTCCACTCACTCCATTTCTTCCCCACCCTGGAATGAAGATAAATAAAACTTTTTCTGAGCCGCTATCAGTTCTGAATAAGGATCACTGGACTCAAAACATTAACTTTGTTTTCTCTCCACGGATGCTGCCAGACCTGCTGAGTTTCTCCAGCATTCTTTTTTTCAGTCATAGAGAGCAGGTCAGAAACTAGGAATACTGCGGTGAGTAACTCTCCTCCTGACTCCCCAAAACCTGTTCATCATCCAGAAGGCACAAGTCAGGAGTGTGATGGAATACTCCCCACTTGCCTGGATGGGGACAGCTCCATCAACACTCAAGAAGCTCGACACCATCCAGGACAAAGCAGTTTGCTTGATTGGCACCACATCTATCAAATGAGATAACAAGATGTAGAGCTGGATGAACACAGCAGGCCAAGCAGCATCAGAGGAGCAGGAAAGCTGACGTTTTGGGCCTAGACCCTTCTTCAGAAAAATGTGACAATATCAAGTGACGTACTTGTTGTCAACTATCGTTTGTATGACAGGATAGGAACTACGGTGCATCAATTATGTTGGGTTATGAGTAGATATGATATACCAGAATAGCAGAATAGGATTAAGAGGTCAAAGGGCACCCTAGTATCCAGCAGCACATGATGTGTACTTGGGTATGGGGTTGATGATTGAGGCGCAAAGGCCAAATCTCTGTTTAAAACAGATCGCAGAGATTTTTTTGAGAATTTCTCTTGTAATTTTGACAAAGAATAGTAATTTCATCTCAACAACAACAGTGTGTATTTATGTAGCTCCTATAATGTAGACAGCCATCCCAAATAATTTCACTTTCTTTGAGGAACATCAGAATAATCGTGTGGGAAGAAGAAGAAAATTATTTCAAGTGATTTTTCTGGCTGTAACTGGACAAATAAGAATGGGTGACAGTATCCACCACTTCCTCCCACCCCTCTCTCTCACTCACACACACACACACACACACACACACACAGAGTGACAGCGGAGACAGTGGTGCGGTCAAAGTCTGCAGGCAGAACAAGGAGGGAGAGTTGGCCACTGTCACGGACACGCTGCATGTTATTTGTGAGTTTGATTAGAGCTGTTTTGGTACTGTGGCAGGAACAGAAACCTGATTGGAAAGATTAATTTTTAATTTTAATTTAATTTATTCATTGGGTGAGGGCATCGCTAGCCAGGCAGCATTTATCGTCCATCCCTAATTGCCCAGAGGGCAGTTAAGAGTTAACCACATTGCTGTGGGTCTAGACTCACATGTAGGCCAGACTAGGTAAGGATAGCAGTTTCCTTCCCTAAAGGGCATTAGTGAACCAGATGGGTTTTTCCTGACAAACGACAATGGATTCATGGTTATCATTAGATTCTTAATACCAGATTTTTTTCACTGAATTCAAATTCCACCATCTGCCATGGCGGGATTCGAACCTGGGTCCCCAGAACATTATCTGGGTCTCTAGATTAACAGTCCAGCCATAATACCTTTAGGCCATTGCCTCTCCATAAAGCATGGAGTTCAGAAAAGATGCGAATGGATTTGGGAGGCAGCAACACGTTCAGGGACTTTAAAAAGGAAAGGGAGGGCTGGAGATTGGCTGGGGATTTGGGAAGCCAGGAGGGTCGAGGGTTTTGAAAAGACCCAGGAAATAACTATGGCTGAGATTTGGGGTCTGAACCTTGCACTTTACTCAGTGCCTGAGGAATCCAATACGAAATACTTACATCAGTTGCTGCCAATTCCTCCCCGTCATCTACATTGTCGACTGTAACAACTCCTTGTGAGCAGAAATGATAGTCAAAGGGATTGTTACTCACTAGCAACATATCTGGAAAAGAGAACATTGAAGTAAGTGAGAAAAGCAACTTCTTATAATCTGTGGGGAATTTCCTTAACATCTAATTGATTTCAGACCCTATTAGTTTGTGCTCAAATAATCATTTTCAAGTATTGATATAGTGTGTGAAAAGCTTTAATGCAATTTAATGATCAGAGCTCCAAGGCTAGTCTTGCTCCAAGTCAGACTTGCTGCAGAACATCTGTAGTTGGGAAGCTATTGGAGAGAATTCTTAGAGAGAGGATTTTTATGCATTTGGAAAAGCATGACCTAAATAGGGACAGTCAGCATGGCATCGTGCAGGGCAGGTCATGTCTTACTAACTTGATTGAATTTTTTGAGGAGGTGACAAGAGTGATCGATGAGGGCATAGCAGTGGGTGTTGTTTACATGGATTTTAGTAAGGCATCTACAGTGAGATCTACAGTGACTTGGCTGTGTGGATTCAGAATTGGATTTCCCATAGAAGACAGAGGGGAGTGGTGGAAGGTGTTTTTTAGGCTGGAGGTCCATGACTAGTGGGTGTTCCGCAGGGATCCATACTGGGATCTCTGCTGTTTGTGCTACATATAAATGACTTGAATGAAAATGTAGATGGGTGGGTTAGTAAGTTTGTAGCTGATACAAAGGTCAGTGGCATTGTGGATAGTGTAGAAGGTTGTCAAAGGATACAGCAGGATATAGAGATAGTAGGAACTGCAGATGCTGGAGAATCCGAGACAACAAGGTGCCGGGCTGGATGAACACAGCAGGCCAAGCAGCATCATAGGAGCAGAGAGGCTTACAGCAGGATATAGATCAGTTGCAGTTATGGACAGAAATGGCAGATGGAGTTTAACCTGGGTAATGTGAGGTGCTGCACTTTGGAAGATCAAATGTTAGGAAAAGTATACAGTTAACGGCAGGACATGAACACAATTGATGTGCAGAAGGATCTTGGAGTTCAAGTCCATAGCTCCCTGAAAGTAGACATGCAGGTAGATAGGGTGGCAAAGAAGACATATGGCATGCTTGCCTTTATTGGTCCAGGAATTGAGTACAAGAGTCAGGATGTCATGTTGCAGCTCTGTAAGACTTTGGTTAGGCCACAGTTAAATTGTGCTCAATTCTGGTCACCACATTACAGGAAAGATGTGGAGGCTTTGGAGAAGGTGCAGAAGAGGTTTACCAGGATGTTGCCTGGATTAGAGGGTATGAGCTATAAGGAGAGGCTAGAAAAACTCGGGTTGTTTTCTCTGGAGTGGCAGAAGCTGAGGGGATACTTGACAGAAGCCTATAAAATTATGAGGTGCATAGATAGGGTTGATGGTCAGAATCTTTTTCCCAGAGTTGAAATGTCTAATACAAGGGGCATGCGTTTAAGGTGAGAGGGCAAGTTCAAAGGAGATGTGAGGGGAAGGTTTTTTACACAGAGCGGTAGGAATCTGGAACGCGCTGCCAGGGGTAGTGGAGGCATGTACAATGGGGCATTTAAGCGACTTTTAGATAAACACATGAATATTCAAAGAAAAGAGGGATACAGACTAAGGGCAGACAGAAGGGATTAGTTTAACTGGGCGTCATGTTCAGCACAACATGGTGGGCCGAAGAGCCTGATCCTGTACTGTATTGTTCTATGTTCTAACAGCTGATTGGCAGATCAGCAGTAAAGAGAGAGAGAGAGATGGGATTCCCCCATCCCACCACCCCACTCCCCCTGAATGGAGTAAAATTAAGATGTAACCCAGAAAGGAAAGTCCATCAGTTTCACCACTGAGCAACAGAGAGGCCAAAAAAGGAGTAAAGGTCACAAAGTCATAGGAAGAAATGATCAATTTAAAAAATTCTTTCATTTGTCTGACTCTTTCCATCTTTAAATTCCACAACAATCACTGAGACACTGACCTGATTGAAGCAGGTTCAAATTCACCCTCAATCACTTTATCATCCTTTTCCTGAAAACTAATTTCTGTCTAATTTTCTCATTTTTGTTTTCTGCCAATGTCAGGCCTAAATGTTTGTTGAAAATCACTGAAAAAGAACGTTGTGTATTCTGCAGCACCAAAATGGAGCCACTCCCCTTGTTATACATTGGCTAGTCCCAGCCCAGGATAGACAGACCAATTTTCTGGTTAGAGACAAAAACACTGCAGATGCTGGAATCCAAGGTGGACAAACAGGAGGCTGGAAGAACACAGCAGACCAGGCAGCATCTAGAGGGACGGAGCACTCAACATTTTGGATGTTACCCTTCTTTAGGAGGTAAAGACCAATTCCTGGTTCTGCTCGATAAAGGGCTCAGGTGAGGAGCTCCAGCTGGGTAGGCCACTGCCTGTTACAAAGGAAACTCATACTCAATGAGGAGATTCATTCATTTATAGCAAGGATGCGATACGCCTGGAATTAGAATAATTTATGATGTTCCATTATTAGCTTCAGCTTTAATCTCCTGTGATTTTTACACAGTTAATGAATTTGTACATTCACTGCAGTCAGCTCAGTTGGCTGGACAGCTGGTTTGCGATGCAAAGCGATCCTAACAGTGTGGGTTCAAATCCCGCACAGGCTGAGGTTACTATGGAGGACTCTCCTTCTCAACCTCTCCCCTCACCTAAGGTGTGGTGAGCCTCAGGTTAAGCCACCCCCAGTTGTCTCCTTCTAATAAAAACATAATCCTCTGGGACAATGGAAACCTTACATTCACTGCCCAGTAGCTTTATCACAAAGTTAACTCCAGTAATTAACAGCCTACCTTAAACAAAATAATAATAAGTAATAAAAGTCATTTTCTTTAACAGAAAAAGTCAATTAATATTTGGAGCCTCATTCCTTCAGATTACAAATGATTATTGGAGATTTTATAGCATCAAAGTTTTCACTTCTATTGCCTTTTTACCTTATGGTTTTGTCTCTTTTTTCACCTAATGTCATCTTTCTTTTGCTCTCTCTTTTTCTGTGTCCAATTTATCATAAATTCACCCTATTTGCAGCTCTTTCACTATTAATCTTTAAATAAGACCATAAGACATTGAGTAGAATTAGGCCTTTAGGCTCATTGAGTCTGCTCCACCATTTGGTCATGGTTGATATGTTTCTCAACCCCATTCTCCTGCCTGTTCCCTGTAACCCTTCATCCCCCTTACTAACCAATGACTGTCTGTCTCTGTCTTAAACACACGCAATGACTTGGCCTCCACAGCCCTCTGCAGCAGTTGAGTCCCACAGATTCACCACCCTCGGCTGAAGAAATTCCTCCTCATCTCAGTTCTAACGGGTCATCCCTTCACTCTGAGACTGTGCCCTCAGGACTTAATCTCTCCTACTAGTGGAAACGTCTTCTCTACATTCACTCTACCCAGGCCTGCCAATACTCTGTGAGTTTTAATCAGATCCCCCTCATCCTTCTAAACTCCATTCCCAGAGTCTTCAACTGCTCCTCACATGACAGTTTCTTTATCCTCAGGATCATTCTTGTAAACCTCCTCTGGACTCCCTCCAACATCAGCACACCCTTCCTTAGATATGGGGTCCAAAACTGCTCATAACCTTCCAATTGTGTCTGACCAGAGCCTCATACAGCCTCAGCAGTACATCTCTACTTTTGTATTCTAGCCCCCTTGAAATGAATGCTAACATTGCATCTGCCTTCCTAACTGCCAATGGAATCTCATTTGTTAAGGAAATAGGCTTTTGTTTCTGTCATTCACTAAGGTCCCATTTTGAACTCACACTCCTACAATTCACAAAGCAAAACACTTAGTAATCTTCAGTGAGCATTGTTTTATAGCTAGGACATGACCTTGTCACTAGATTTTTGACTCCTCTAAAATGTGGCCCCAGATTCTTGCAGGGTGATTGGACATGGACAGGATTGGATATCCTTAGCCAAATGGCCATTGCTCAGTGTGAAGTTGACAGTCAGTATAAATATTTGGAGAATCACTGGACAGAGAAGAAGCTCATAATAGTCAGTCACCACTTAGCACTCACTTGTGGCCATCTCAATGTCCAAACTAAGAGTTAAATTGGCTAGCCTGTGTCTCACACTATCACTGTCACCAATTAAGGATCAGAGAGTTGACAAGTTATTTGTCTGGAAAAGTTTTCAATTTCAAGATTCCCTTACTATACTCCTTATACACACGCAACTGTGTGGCCAAATTCTTCTCTAACTCCATTTACAAGCATACTGATGACACCACGGTAGTGGACTAGATCTCAAACAACGACAAGACAGAGAGCAGGAATGAGATATAGAGCTTAGCAGCATGGTGTAAACACAGCAATCTCTCCATCAGCGTCATCAACTACAGGAAGCAGAGTGGAGGACACGCCCCTATCTGTGTGAATGGTGCTGAGATGGAGGTGATCAAGAGCTTCAAGTTCCTATGAGTAAATGTCACCAACAATCTATCCTGGTCCATCCACGTCATCACTACAGTCAAGAAAGCACACCAATGCCTCTATGTCCTCAGGAGGTTAAGGAAATGCAACATGTCCACAATGACTCTTACCAATTTCATCATAGAATCGCTACAGTGTGGAAACAGGCTATTCAGCCCAATAAAGTCCACACCAACTCTCTGAAGAGCATCCCACCCAGACCCACCCCCTACACTATCACTGTAACCCTGCATTTCCCATGGCCAATCCACCTAACCTACACATCTCTGAACACTGGGCAATTTTCCACAGCCAATCCACTTAACCTCCACATCTTTGGACTGTGGGAGGAAACTGGAGCACCCGGAGGAAACCTATGCAGACACGGGGAGAATGTGCAAACTCCACACAGACAGTCACCCAAGGGTGGGATTGAACCCAGGTCCCTGGCGCTGTGAGGCAGCAGTGCTAACCAATGAGCCACTGTGCTACCCCCAAACTTACTCATTTTCATAGAATTCCTACAATGTGGAAGCAGGCCATTTGGCCCATCCAACCCTCCAAAAAGCTTCCCACCCAGACCCACCCCTACACTATCCCTGTAACCCTCCATTCTTACATGGCTAATCCACCCCAACTACACATCCCTGGACACTCTGGGCAATTTCCCACGGCCAATCCACCTAACCTGCACATCTTTGGACTGTGGGGGAAAACCCACGCAGACACTGTGAGGCAGCAGTGTCACCACATTGACATAGAATTTTTATAGATGCACCATAGAAAGTGCACCACAGCCTGGTATGGCAGCTGCTCTTCCCAAGACCACAAGAAGTTACAGAGTTGTGAACACAGCTCAGTCCATCACACAAACCAGCCTCTCATCCATTGATTCCATCTATGCTACCTGCTGCCTTGGGAAAGCAACCAACATAAACAGGCCCCTCCATCCTGGTTATACTCTCTTCCACCCTCTTACATCAGGCAGAAGACATAAAAGTTTGAAAACATGTACCAACAGATTTAGGAACAGCTTCTTCCTTGCTTTAATCAGACTTGTGAACGGATCTCTCATATATTAGAGTAGATCTTTTTCTGCAACTTCTCTGTAGCTGTAACACTATATTCTGCATTCTGTTCTACTACCCTAATGTACCCTAAGGTATGGTTTGTCTGGATAGCATAATATCTTTCACTGTGTCTCAGGACATGTGACAATAATAATAAATCAAATCAAAATTTTTTTTGAAAAATGTAAATTTGTGTTTAGTCATACTTACCAAAGAGCTCAGGCTTTTTGCCAGAAAAGATCTGGTAATAAATGTGATAACTCCTTTCTCCAGGTTGCTGGAAGATTACCCGAGATTTTTCTAGAAGATCTGAAAGTTAGACGTTTGAATTATTACAGAGCAGTACATTCAGATATCACCACACTTCATTGAGTAGATGACTGCAGCTAGAAATGACTTGAACACAATGGAACTAGAGAAAGGGCAGGGCAACCGGACATTACTTCTAAAACAGAGTTGTGATGGCGGCCATTTGACTGAGTGGAACAGATCAAACCAATTCACAATGGCTCATCTGTATTAATTAGTCACAATTTAGCTCTGCACATTCACGACACTACTCAGCGTCCTCTTTTCGAAAGAAATGCAGTTCAAATTTTACTAAAGAGTTTCTCACTCATTTTGTCTTTACTCGTATTTCAAAGAGACAGTTATAAACAGTAGAATGTTCCAGAGTCTTTGCTGTAATGTCCTGTCCATGCAGGTCACTAAACTTGCAAGGTTTTTGTCTGAAGTCTGATCAACTCAGGAAACACAATCTGAGATGTTCCTTCAATTGCTCTCTCAAAAGAACAGATAGGTTTTATCCTGGGCTCAACAAAAGGGAGAGATCAGATGGACAGCTTGTTCTTAGCAGGCTTCCCTCCAAAATGAACCAGATAAAACAAGAATCAAGCTAATCATTGTTGTAAACAGCCCAAGAAGGGGGTCTACAGAAACTCAAGTAGTTATCACCAGCCATTTAATTTCCAAAAAGCCTTGTTAAAATAACTTCCAGTGTCCACAGTGAACTTTCAATGACCTCTTTTTAAGAAATTACTCCAGATGTATCCACAAAATTAGAAATAAATTCATTTTCCCACAACTTTTTAAAACTTTTAGTCCTTTAATCAATGAAATGTAAAGTGATTTTGTAACAAAACGGGTTCAAGACTTATCTTTTTTCATATCCAGGTAGATTGACCAATGACATAGTTAAACTCCTGCCATTCTGCCTGATCCAACTATGATTTGAACAAATCTTGTCTTCCTCCTGTTTTTCCAATGTGGTAAATTTATAACTTTTATGTCTTTCAAGTGATGAAGGGGCTTAATAGGGTATTGGAGAGACCAGAACTAGGGCCATAAATCTGTGCATTCCAGGTAAATCCAATAAAAAGACTTATTTCTGCTCAAACCCCAGTCCCATTCCAAAGAGAAGAGCAGAATTGTAATTGATTATAGTCGTACAATTGTTACATTTTACAAATGTAAGTTGGTCCAATCTATCCCTTATTATCAAACCATGGTTTCACACCTCAGTGTATTGAACTTGCTTCTCCATTTCACATTAGACTGAGCTTGTCCTGACTGGGCATTGCAAATAATTTAATTAATTGGAAACACGGTGATTATCTGTGGTGGTTAAAAATAGAGATTGAGTGATTTTTAATTAATAATATGGGTGATTTAGTGATAATTTAATTTGTAAACCAAAAAAATCAGAACATTGTACTGATTCTGTGTTAAGTCTGAAGTCTTTAGGATTTTTCCAGGTGCCTTTCACGCAGGTACATTAAACTCAGTAGAAAAAGGCTTTTATCTCATTAGTTTGGTACACAATGCTCATCAGACCTCAGACTGTGTGAACTGCTGCGGTACCTACAGCTTCGTGCACACACCCCACCCCCACCAACTCCCACTCCCCACACCACTTCTCCCTGAGTGCCCCCATATCTCTCTCCCTACCTCTCTCCCCCACCACCCTGTCCACTCTCATCAATCCCTCCAGCCAAGATTCCACTCACTTACAGATGTCAATATCAGCTGATGCCAGTTTCCCTGTAGGACCAAAGTGAATCCGAATAAACTTCCCCTGCACAAAGGTAAGAAGAAGAATTTGCAGATTACAGCATGGCAATGTTTAGATCAGAGAGTGGGACTCATTCATTAAATGCAGAATGTGTGAAGATCTTTAAATTAAGATACTAAATCATCAGTAAAGCTATATGAACTTCCTAGTTTCAAATTAAGCTTTTTAGATTGTGTAATATATTGTCTGGCATTAACTGTCTAATTATTTGAGTCTTGATGAAGCAGAAACATTCTGTTGAAGCTTTTCATTGTGTACTCATCAGGACAGAATTGCAAGAATACCAAATCTCAAAGGTAGAAACAATTTCTATTGCATGTGAAGAGACTGTTGATTTTTGTTTAACATGTTGCCAATTATGAGAAAGGAAATGTACATTTTATTAAATACATACAAAACGGGAAGAGTTGTCATTTCTTAAGGTCTTGGCGTTGCCAAAAGCTTCCATCGCCGGGTTTGCCTCAATGATCTGGTCCTCTAGAGTACCCTAGGAATTGGAGAAACGCATTTAGTGATGAACCATGTAAAGTATCCCTGATACTCACATAAATTAATCATGAAACTCTTCTGGAAGTAGCTCAAAAATCTCATCCCCTTTTAACAATCCTCCTTACTCAACCCATTCTCTCAGCGAACTACCTCCATCTGGGCTTAAATTGTTCCACAGTCTTGGCTACGGATGGCTATCTGACAAACCATCTTAATTTTTACAAATTCTTCACTTCTAACTCATGCAATACGATATAATCAACTCCAAACCTTGCTAATGGGGCTGGACTGTCAGGGTGGGGACACGACGAACAATTGGCTAACAAATGGATTGAGGTTATTATTGGAGTTGGGGGGGGCGCGGGGGGTGGGGTGGAGGGTGGTTGAGCTTATGATGTTGAAGTTGCAGGTGTCAATCATTCAATTATTGTGTGGATTTTACAAAGGACCTGTACACAAGGTCAGAACTACACAAAAGAAATTCCACTCAGTCATGGCAAAGATAATAATCTTACCCCAGTCTTTGTTGCTGGCTGAGACTGCAAGGGAAAATAGAAAAGAATAAATCTCCTTGGATTAAAACAGGAAACTTTGTCCTTCACTGAGAAAAAAAATCTGCAATTTTATTTTGAAAATTAAGAACAGCGCAGGTATAAAAATTATCTTTAAAAAGTTTTGTTTTAAAAATATACAAAAAGAAGAGAAAAAAAAACTCTAGGGCAAAAAGTATTTACTCAATAAAGAACAAACTGTGCATAAATTACTCAACATTAAAGCAGATGCCAAAATATTTTTTAAAGAAAAAAGCAAAAATGCAAAATAAAAAGTGAAGAAGTTTTAAAGAGTTGATCTTGCCTTCTTTCCACCTCCATCGCCCATGGCAGCTATAATTGCAAAGTACTGAATAACACGTTTCGTGTTGACAGTTTTCCCAGCTCCAGACTCACCGCTGGGAAAGATCAAAATCCAGGGAAGGAAAAAAGTGAAAAAGTTAAACCCCAAAAAATAAAAAGTAAGCAACAAAATATTCATAATCATTCAAAATATCAAATATAAAAACAGAGAATAGCGTTCAGTTTGTTATTCTCAGAGTTAAAAAGGACCTGCGCCTTTTTTGTGCAGAATGAGTTCTGGCCTGTTGATAAACAAGATTAATCCATTACAAAGTGATTCTTGATGAAATTATTTGGGGCAATCATCTTATCTAGTCCCCCTTTCTGTCTATCTGTGTCCCTCAATGTCACTCTGTTTGTCTCCCTCTCTCTGTCTGTTTGATTGTCTCTGTCTCTAGCACTCTCTCTCTCCAAACGTCTATGAGAGGGATAGTTGGCAGGCAGGTTGTGATTGAGTTTGATCTTGGGATTGCAATGGGTTTGGCGAATCTCTCCAGCACAGCCTGCTCCAATTTCAGAAAGCCCCCTTTCTGATGACCTTCAATGACATGTAGCTGGCCATAGGAATGGAGACAACGCAGGCTACACTGACAATGAGCACTTACTACAAAGTCCTCAAACAAGTTCCTGGCCCCTCTGCAAATCATCTGAGCCCAGTTCCAAAACTATCTCAATATTTTTAATGAACTTATTACAATATAAATGTATTCTCAGGCAGTATGTTTGATTGCTTGGGAACCAAAATAGACACACACAGAGTTTTGGGGAATCAATGAGCTTATTTTACAGGGTGGAGCTTGATTCATCAATAACTAATAATAACAAATTCCACATGTCAAAATCCATGGATAATTTGCATTAGAGCCAAAAGCAAGGCTTCTCATTTTCTACCAATGTCCTGGGGCAGCCCTACACCAAGAGCTGTTGATACCAAGTGAAATGGCGAGCGGGTCAGACAAGGTGCTACCAAGGTGCTAAAGTGCCATCTCTGGCAGCACAGTGCAATTGCAGTGTGATAAGTTTACATGGAAATTTTCCATTATAAATATGGTCAGAAATGTATAAAATTTGTGAATTTATAAAGAAGTTGTAACACACAGTCTGTTATAGGAACGCAGAATTACACAACATCAGTACACAATGTTATGCAGCCAGGTAGCTTTGTTAAATCCTGTGAGATAACAGCACCAACAGCAAAATCCAAAAACAAATTATGAGTATAAAAGTTGGGAAAGTGTTGATCAAGATTAATATTTGACATGATACTAAGGTGATTATGGGATAATGCTGATAAATCACACAACTTATTATAAACAATATTTGAGACCATTCACAGGGCTATTAACTCAAAGCTAAAATTCAATGAACTCACTTAAATTCCAGCTTTAAATAAAAAATTAGTTTATACATTTTATTAAAGTTTGAAATTTAGGCACTCACGTAATCAACATTGACTGGTTCTCCCGATCTGGAAAAATTGAATTATAATTAATGATTTTCCCAGGCTCTCCCTTTCTCCTAGCCTGCTGTATGACACTCAGCTGACCAATACAGTGGGTCATTTGCTAATACTCACAGCCTATCTGCAATCAGCTAACGCACTCATATACTATTCTTCATGTGCTTTTGTTTCTCAGACTGAGTAGAGGTTCCAATGATGATGCTACTTACTACGGACCATGTCGTTGTATGCATTGTCGGCAATGGAGTAGATATGTGGTGGGGCCTCTGAGCGTCTCTTGCCCTTGTAGGCAGCGACCACGGGAGGACTATACACCGGAAGCCACTTGTATGGGTTCACTGTCACACAGAACAACCCTGAGTAGGTCTGTCAGGAAGGAAGACACAGAATCAGACCAAGAGTTGCTATTTCATGTTACTTTAATTAAGAGTCAGATAATCAGCTGAAACAATTATTAAAAGTTCTTTCCTGGGATGTGGGTGCCTTTGGATTGACCTTACACCTCCAGTAGATGGAATCAGATTCTGCCCAGATGTTCCAATGGTCCCTGTCCATTGTCTACAAGCACCCACAGTGTTTTGGTCTGTTATAACGCAGCTCCCAATGAGTCTCAAAGGAACAGGAAACTGTTCCCATGGACTTAATTTTCTGTCTCTGTCTGAGGCTCAGATTGGGTGCTGTAATGTCAGCTATTTCCCATGGGTGGTCCAGACTGAGTGTGACCTGAGTGGGGAAGGAATGCTGCCAGATACACTGAGTTTGTCCAGCAATTTCTGTTTTTGTTTCAAATCAGAAAATCAGAAAGCTTCGAATGGAATATTTTAAAGGTTGTGGTTTGTGAGGAGGTTTGTTCTAAAAGGTGACAGCCAAGAATCTCAGAAGTGGATAGTGAGGAAGTTTGTCAAAGGATTCAGCAGCATATAGTTCAATTGGAAAGTTGGGCAGAGAAACGGCAGATAGAGTTTAATCCAGACGTGTGTGAGGTGATGCAGTTTGGGAGGTCAAATGCAAGAGGAAAGTATGCAGTAAATGTCAGGCCCCTTAGGAGCATTGATATACAGAGGGATCTTGGGTTGCAAGTTTGTAGTTCCCTGAAAGTGACTACACAAGGGGATAAAATGGTAAAGAAGGTGGAGGGTGTTTTCGTTCTTCATTCGGGGCACTCCAGTATAAAAGTTGGCAACAATATAAGACTTTATTTCGGCCACATTTGGAGTATTGTGTGCAGTTCTGGTTGCCACATTATAAGAAGGATATGGAGGCTTTGGAGAGGGTGCTGAAGAGGTTTACCAGGATGTCACCTGGATTGGAGTGCATTACATAGAACATAGAACATAGAACATAGAACAGTATAGCACAGTACAGGCCCTTCGGTCTGCGATGTTGTGCCGAACATTTACCCTAATCCTAAGGTCTATCTAACCTCCACCCCTACCTCATACTATCATCCATATGCCTATCTAATAGCCGCTTAAATGTCCCTAATGAGGCCGACTCCACTAACCTCTCTGGCAATGCATTCCACGCCCCTACCATTCTCTGAGTAAAGAACCTACCTCTGACGTCTTCCCTATATCTACCTCCACCCACTTTAAAACTATGCCCCCTTGTAATAGCTACCTCCACCCTAGGAAAAGTCTCTGGCTGTCCGCTCTATCTATACCTCTGATCATTTTGTACACCTCTATCAATTCAATATTATCTATAAGGAGAGGTTAGACAATGTTAGATTGTTTTTGCGAGAGCATTGGAAGTTGAGAGGGTGACCTGATTGAAGTATATAAAGTTATGAGAGGCTTGGATAGGGTTGATAGTCGGAGTCTTTTTCCCAGGGTGGAAACATCAAACACTAGTAGGTACAGATTTAAGGTGAGAGGGGAAAAGTTTAAAGGAGATGTGTGAGGTAAGGCTTTTACTCAGAGGGTGGTGAGTGCCTGGAATGTGCTGCCAGGGGAGATGGAACAAGCAGATACAACAGCAACATTTAAGAGGCATTTAAACAAACACATGAACAGGCAGGGAATAGAAGGATAAGGGCCAGATAGAATAACAAGGTGTGGAGCTGGAGGAACATAGCAGGCCAAGCAGCATCAGAGGAGCAGGAAAGCTCACGTTTCGGGTTGGGACCCTTCTTCAGAAATGGGGGAGGGGAAGGGGACTCTGAAATAAATAGAGAGAGGGAGGCGGTGATAGAAAGTGGATAGTGGAGCGGATAGGTGGGAGAGAAGACGGACAGATCAAGGAGGTGGGGATGAAGCTAGTAAAGGTGAGTGTAGGTAGGAAGTGGGGATGAGGATTGGTCACTGAGGAGGGAGGGGCTTACTATCCCTAAGGACCAGATGGGATTACTTCAGAACAGTATCATGGTCGGCACAGACATGGTGGGCTGACGGGCCTGTTCTGGTACTGTCCTGTTCTAGGTTCTATGTAATTTAGACCAGAGCTGCCTCACTGTGCACCATAATCCTGAAATAGTGAATCTTTCCTTTTCCCTCAGAATAAATGGGGCCAAAGCAGTCTTTTCTTCAGACTGTATCGGAAAGACCACCTGGATTGGATATCTGGGCAGGTACTGTTTGGGAGAATGATAAATACCCTCTTACTCAGGGGAAATGGAAATTTCCAGAGTGGGAGTAATGACAACATCAGACTGCTGACCCTTCATCCCAAACTCTGCCCCTGATCTTCAGTCTCCACCCCTAACTCCAGTCTGAAAGGAGGATAATTGAGTGTCATGCCATGCTGTGACCAAGTCAGACACTGTTCCCAGTTAAGTCAGGAATGTTTGGAGATTATTGGTGTTCAATATCTTTGCGCATATTGCACATTGTCTTTGTCCTTGGGACCAGGGTTTATTCTACATGGGCAGCATTGTCTGGGACTGCAATGGAAGATGACGGAATACTGGAATGTTCTGCCAATCCAGAATGGGATTCTCCAGCCTTTCCGCTGAATTCAGTTTGAAGCTCAGGTTCACAGCAGGGAATTCTCACAGATTGGCTCAAACACAGTCACACAAAATGAGAAAACTTTTCAGGTACGGAAAGAGACCATTCAGCCCATCACTTGTGCATGCCTCTCTGAGTCAGCATTATGATTTCACGCCAATCTCCTGCCTCCTCCTTGTAATCTGCACATTGTTTTGACATAAATAATCATCAAATTCCACCTGGAAGGTCTCAAATGAACCTAACCATACAGCTCACATCTTATTAAAAGTTTAGTTTTAATAATTGGCTTTTCTTACATAGATCATCCAGTTATTGTATCGCCGGCGGAGATTGTATAACACAGAAGCTTCATTCAAGTTGGTTAACATGGCCATGTCCTCAATCATGTCGAACTTGGGAGGGTTCATCTGCTGAACGTCATCTTCTTTAACTGTTACAGTCTGAAAGGAAGACAGGGAAAAGAATACCAAAACAGGTTCAATAGCAGGCTGGCTGCATGTGAGTGATATCGTAAGATATAGATTATAATGATGGGCTGTGAGCCATTGGAGTAGATAAAATGCAACAGACTCGATCACCTGCGAAGGAGAGACACCGGGGATTAAGGTGGAGCTGTTGGCAGATGTAGTGTCACCAATTGGAGCAATGATTCACAAAACAGGTCCACGTTGGTCACTTGAGCAGGAGCTGAGAGTGGACAGTTGAAAGGGTCTCCTCAAAGAAGAGCGAAAAGTTGTCAGCCAGGTGGGAGGAACTTCCAATACCAGAGTAAACATGGACAATGCTGACAATACTCAGCTGGCCAGGCAGTGTGTGTGAGGACAAAAAGATTGAAACAGAAAGGGTTGCTGATGAAAGGTCATCGACCTGAAACATAACTTAATTTCTCAATTCCCAGACACTGCCTGAGCTGCCCAGGATCACTGTCTTGTTTTTCACTTCAGATTTTCAACATCTGCAGTATTTTGTTTTTGGATCCAAAAAGAAGGTTGTGTATGGGACATAATGTTTTAATTTAAAAGGAAAGACCAGAAACAAGATCCTTTCATCTCTCGGAGCAATGTAAGAGAGTGGAACTTTATTACAGCTTAATCCAGAACATGGTTCAAGCTAAAGTATAAATTATTAACAAGGTACAACGAAAGATTTCTGAATTGATGTCAAAAGGATCCTTATCCCATAAAAAGATGAACACTTGACTGAGATGAGAATCTTACACACATTCAGAGTCACTTAGTGCCGTGAGGAGACGATAGGAAATTGATCCCAGGCACGAGGCTGGTACCTGAGCAATGGGCAGATCCAGACCAGCAGGTGGAGCCAGCACAGTAGAACCTAAGGTAGACAAACAGGAGGCTGGAAGGACACAGCCAAGACAGGCAGCATCTGGAGGGAAGGAGCAGTCAACGTTTCAGGTATTACCCTTTCACCCCTGTCATCCAGACAGCCCTCCAGCACACCTCCTCCATTCCCTGCTCTTTTCTAAAGAACCCCACACAGCAGTAAAATGTAACTTCAGGTGGAGCGAGGACAGTTGATGCTCAGAAACCTCTGTGTGCAATGGGCTCGTTCCCACTTACTTTGCCATTTTTGGTATCCACAGTGACCTTTCCACCACCAGCTTCTCTAATCTCCGCTTCCACATAAGCCTCCTTGTCATCAGGGACCCAGCACCGTTTCTTACCTGAAGATGAGAGTAACCAAGAACAAATCAATACATGATCAATTACGTATTAATTCATCACCTCTCACTGCAGGAGAAAACAATGAGAGTTTTTGCTTAAAGGAGCTGGGAGTGTGTGAACTGATTGAAGGTGACCGGAGAAAATTGAAAGGCTGGGAAACCAGCAGGAGGGATGCTTTATTTTGTTATTTGCAACAGAGAAGACAAAAGCAGGAAAACAATGTGAAACATTTATAAGAGAACAAGGTGTAGAGCTGGATGAACACAGCAGGCCAAGCAGCATCAGAGGAGCAGGAAGGCTGACGTTTCGGGCCTAGA